AAAAAAATCTTAATTAAAAACTACATTATTATCTAAATTATACTAAAATAACACTGGACTTTACACACAATTTGTTACAATAAGATGAAGGGTGAGAATCATTAATACGGTCTTAGATAAAAGTAATTAATAATGAGTAGGCCTAGCTGAGGAATCCCAGCACCTACACCTGAAATACGAAGCTAAAACCTGTTAAACATTGAATAATACACCATCAACAGAGAACCTACTAGAGCAGGGGTGGCAAACTCCGATCCTGGAGAGCCGCAGCCCTGCAGAGTTCAGCTCCAACCCTAATTAAAACTCACCTGCCTGTTGATTCCTAGTAACCGTTCAGACCTTGATTAGCTTGTTCAGGTGTGTTTGCTTAGGGTTGAAGCAAAACTCTGCAGGGCTGCGGCTCTCCAGGACCGACGTTCGCCACCCCTGTACTAGAGCATCATTACTTTCTGCAGACCACTCATAACCCTGCCATTAACTCCTATTCAATACGGGAATCAGGAATACTGTCTACTCTCACATTTGGTGAAAAATACAGTGACTTCATGCATAGTCTTCATAAAAAGCTCAACAGGCTTTCATATGAACGACACATTCCAACAGAAGGACTCAACGGAGCAGCTTCCACAGCTGCCACCCAGTATTGTAGCCATAATCATATTCATAAGAGATTGTTTTCAACCACACATCACATATGTGTGAATAAACTATCATAGTAAGACTTATGGTTTGACTCATTCAAAAACAGGTTAGTTACAACGGATAGACCACATGATTATAAATTATTTGGACTGACATGATGCACCATAATTCAATTTCACACAGGCCCCACAGCTAAGTGTTGAGTACTCACGTTACACAACAACATAAGTCATTTTGAAGCCTAGGGTTCATCACTTATGACAACATACACATTTTACAGGGCAAACCTGGGACCACACCGCTCACCATATTAATACTGTGCAGGTCAAATGCCACTTACAACAGCGCATTAAAAAATACCACAACAAAACCGCTGGTTCATACCAAGAAGCTGACCTACAAATACCTAACCAGCTGTCAATCACATATTCAAGTTTATGCCAATGCAGCTCCCTCTTTCTCACTTTCAGTGTAAGTATGTGTCACGCTACACATTCCCAACGCAGTGATGTGTTGTTTTTTAACAGAAACTGGGAACTGAAAGGTTAACATAGGACGTTATTCTATGTGGTTATGTCAAGTGGAAGACACAAATCAAACCTAATTCTTGATGCTTCCAACAAAATCGGGATTTATAGGGTGTACGCATATTTTCTTTGACTTCCAGTTATATTTCTCGTCTCATCTGCGTGGAGTTTCACCGTTAGCCGCACTGAGCTCGCAACGGGTAAGATCTGATTTGACGCTGTCCGTTGAGCTCGCGAGCCGAGCGGGAAACGAACGGTGACGAGACCACACAGCGCGATTCGACCGTTAAAACCTGAGCAAAAAATACTCACGCAAGCGAGTGCCGTTTTCCGCTTTGTCCTCCGCCGTAACCTGTCTATCCTGAAACAGCGAATCTCAGATTTGTCAACCTCTCCCTTCGTCCCGTAGCCATCTTTCTCCTCAGATTCCACGGACACACCCACGCGCACGGGACGCTATGACGTTACACTGGAGGGTGGCGGCCATGGCGAGAAGTCGGTTGTTTTGCTCGGAGCGCCACCGCCGGGGAAATTGGAGAATTGATGAAGTGGCGTATTGATTAGATCACGATGACGGTTCTTCTTCTTCTTCTTAGTTTTATGGCGAGTTGCAATCTTTGCGCATATCGCCACCTACTGTGCTATTGTGCAATCAGGATTTTCTTTTATTATATTAGTTGTTCTGTCTCAACTCTGAAGCCATCAAGAGTCCAGGTATCGGTTGGCGCTGCGTGTTCAGCTCCTCCGTCCTCCACACTGAACCCCTTAGACTCCAAACCGAAACAGGACATATTTTATATTATATTCTTTTATCTAGTCCTGTGCTATATAAAAAATTAAATAAAATCCTATATCCTGTTCTATCACTATTAAATTCATATCCCAATAAATATCCCACATCCTTATTCTTCTTACCTTTATCTTTTAGATATGCTATTAGTTCCTTCCTATCCTCACTATACTTTATACATTCATATATTGCATGCTCAATTGTTTCTTTCTCACCACAAAATTCACATAAGCCGTTAACATGTACACCAATTAAAAACAATGAACCATTCAGCCCTGAATGACCCAGTCTTAATCTAGCTATTATCCCCTCTTCCTTCCTATTCCTTCCTCTTACAATCATTTTAGTATCTACCTGCTTTTTGATTTTATATAAATGTCTTCCCTTATAATCTAAATTCCACACTATTAGGCCAACAGCGCCCCCTACAGATTAAAACTCCTTACCGAACAAGCATTAGGACCTGGGGGAGGCTGTCGCTGCTGCAGCTGCACGTGCTATTACTGTTTACTCTATCATACACCTAACTCATCATTCTGTACAGTGCTTTCACAGATTAAATGCAGCAATCCAAACCAGTGAATCTAGTCATCATTCAGACAAAAACTTTGCTTCAAGAATGAGCCACACTGCTGACATGATCTAATCGCTAGCAAACCCTGAGCACATGCGAGTTAACGTATTCCTCTTATCGGCAAGACATAGAGACATAATTTTTCATATCGGGCCGATGCCGATATTTACATTTAAAGCCATTATCGGCCGATTCCAATATCAGTCCGATAATATCGTGCATCCCTAGCTTATACTTCCTTATGATTAAAATTTTTAGACTACGCATTTACTTCTATTTTGGCATGTTTCATATTTATGCCAATAAAGGCAAAAATGGTGAATCATAAGTAACTATAAATGACAAAATTCAATGGAATCCAACTAAAGAGTGTTGACTGACCACTGACGGTTGGAAATAATAAGGAGAACAAGTGAATAGAGCGAGAGAAAGAAAGAATGAGAGCAAGTTTGTTTGCACTACAGGTCATATTCATTCCTTGGGTTTCAGTCATTCTGACACTGAAATGAGTTTAGGTCTGCTGTAGCATTTGCTGAAGGGAAATAAACCTGAACACAACAGGTCAAAATGACTCCAGCAAGTGTGTGTATGAGTCTGTGCAGAGGGGGTGTAGACAGAAAGACAGACCAAGAGAGTCTGAAGTACATCTTCACTAGAGCACAAAAGTTTATATGGTTTTATGGCACAGAAATGTTGCTCTAGTAGCTAGAAATATATAGAATTTATGGAGAAAAAGTATGATTGAATCAGGGTTATTGCAGTTAACTAAAACCATAAAAAATTCTGACGTTAAATAAAATATTTTTTAAAACTTAACTTATTATACTTCAGCTAGCTGCCAAGGCAGCAATTTTCATTTAGTTTAACATGATGTACTACTATAACAAAGATAAAACAAAGATAAAACTGTACAAAAAATTGACAAAAACACACAACAACAAAATTACTAAATCTTTAACTAAAAATAAAATGAAACAGAAAACATTAAAAAAATCTTAATTAAAAACTACATTATTATCTAAATTATACTAAAATAACACTGGACTTTACACACAATTTGTTACAATAAGATGAAGGGTGAGAATCATTAATACGGTCTTAGATAAAAGTAATTAATAATGAGTAGGCCTAGCTGAGGAATCCCAGCACCTACACCTGAAATACGAAGCTAAAACCTGTTAAACATTGAATAATACACCATCAACAGAGAACCTACTAGAGCAGGGGTGGCAAACTCCGATCCTGGAGAGCCGCAGCCCTGCAGAGTTCAGCTCCAACCCTAATTAAAACTCACCTGCCTGTTGATTCCTAGTAACCGTTCAGACCTTGATTAGCTTGTTCAGGTGTGTTTGCTTAGGGTTGAAGCAAAACTCTGCAGGGCTGCGGCTCTCCAGGACCGACGTTCGCCACCCCTGTACTAGAGCATCATTACTTTCTGCAGACCACTCATAACCCTGCCATTAACTCCTATTCAATACGGGAATCAGGAATACTGTCTACTCTCACATTTGGTGAAAAATACAGTGACTTCATGCATAGTCTTCATAAAAAGCTCAACAGGCTTTCATATGAACGACACATTCCAACAGAAGGACTCAACGGAGCAGCTTCCACAGCTGCCACCCAGTATTGTAGCCATAATCATATTCATAAGAGATTGTTTTCAACCACACATCACATATGTGTGAATAAACTATCATAGTAAGACTTATGGTTTGACTCATTCAAAAACAGGTTAGTTACAACGGATAGACCACATGATTATAAATTATTTGGACTGACATGATGCACCATAATTCAATTTCACACAGGCCCCACAGCTAAGTGTTGAGTACTCACGTTACACAACAACATAAGTCATTTTGAAGCCTAGGGTTCATCACTTATGACAACATACACATTTTACAGGGCAAACCTGGGACCACACCGCTCACCATATTAATACTGTGCAGGTCAAATGCCACTTACAACAGCGCATTAAAAAATACCACAACAAAACCGCTGGTTCATACCAAGAAGCTGACCTACAAATACCTAACCAGCTGTCAATCACATATTCAAGTTTATGCCAATGCAGCTCCCTCTTTCTCACTTTCAGTGTAAGTATGTGTCACGCTACACATTCCCAACGCAGTGATGTGTTGTTTTTTAACAGAAACTGGGAACTGAAAGGTTAACATAGGACGTTATTCTATGTGGTTATGTCAAGTGGAAGACACAAATCAAACCTAATTCTTGATGCTTCCAACAAAATCGGGATTTATAGGGTGTACGCATATTTTCTTTGACTTCCAGTTATATTTCTCGTCTCATCTGCGTGGAGTTTCACCGTTAGCCGCACTGAGCTCGCAACGGGTAAGATCTGATTTGACGCTGTCCGTTGAGCTCGCGAGCCGAGCGGGAAACGAACGGTGACGAGACCACACAGCGCGATTCGACCGTTAAAACCTGAGCAAAAAATACTCACGCAAGCGAGTGCCGTTTTCCGCTTTGTCCTCCGCCGTAACCTGTCTATCCTGAAACAGCGAATCTCAGATTTGTCAACCTCTCCCTTCGTCCCGTAGCCATCTTTCTCCTCAGATTCCACGGACACACCCACGCGCACGGGACGCTATGACGTTACACTGGAGGGTGGCGGCCATGGCGAGAAGTCGGTTGTTTTGCTCGGAGCGCCACCGCCGGGGAAATTGGAGAATTGATGAAGTGGCGTATTGATTAGATCACGATGACGGTTCTTCTTCTTCTTCTTAGTTTTATGGCGAGTTGCAATCTTTGCGCATATCGCCACCTACTGTGCTATTGTGCAATCAGGATTTTCTTTTATTATATTAGTTGTTCTGTCTCAACTCTGAAGCCATCAAGAGTCCAGGTATCGGTTGGCGCTGCGTGTTCAGCTCCTCCGTCCTCCACACTGAACCCCTTAAGACTCCAAACCGAAACAGAACATCTTCTATATTATATTCTTTTATCTAGTCCTGTGCTATATAAAAAATTAAATAAAATCCTATATCCTGTTCTATCACTATTAAATTCATATCCCAATAAATATCCCAATAAATATCCCACATCCTTATTCTTCTTACCTTTATCTTTTAGATATGCTATTAGTTCCTTCCTATCATGTTTCGTCCTCTCTTCCATATAGCTCCGTCATAAGCATAAAGTGATCACGATGACGTTGCTTTGGTTTGTAACCTTTAAGCTTCTCAACGGCTCTGCCTTTAAAGAGCGACCAGACACTGTGCCTAATTAATTTTCATGAGTTGGCCACAGCATGGTAGGTAAAATGAGTCCAACGCTGTGCAGAACAAAAAACCTTTGATATAAATGCTGCCACCAAGTGGTAATAGATGATGGATTTTTTTCCTTCCCTGACAGTTTAAATAATAAAAAGATATTTCTATTTCAAAATACTTCATTGATCATAAAGTCTATGCTTACTACTGCATATAGCCTATTATAGTATTCGGACATAATAGAGCTATTTTTTTGTGTTTGTAAGCTGAAAGGTTTTAGACACTTGATGGATCATTTTGGAAGTATTATTTTCTATTTTCCATTACAGTTACCTTTCCTCAGCTACCCCACAGAGTTTGCAGAAATCTGATTGGTTAATACAGATTGCTGAGCCAGGAGGAAACTGCTCACCTGTTCCTCTGGAGGAATGTTGTCATGGCAATGAGCATCACATAGTACCTCTGTTATATGGGTGGGGTTGTTTGTTATGATGACACAACTATGTGGTCAAACAATGGTTGTGTTTCCTTCATCTGTTTCATAATGTTGTTATTAACTTTCTTACCTTCATATTTTCTTTGTAAATACTAAACATGAACAAATCGATGGGCAAGGCTTTTCGCATGACAACGCATGAACAAGAATGGTGAAGAGGAAGAAAATAAGGGACAAGAAGCAAAAGAGAAGAAAGAGGAGACTCCAAAACTAAAGTGAGTTTTAGTTGTTTTTTTTTTAAATCACATTTGTTACCGTAATGTTATAATGTATAAGCATTATTAAGTTTATTTCTGACAACAAACTATGTTCCAAACACACACAAATTAAAGAAATAATCAATTCTTTGTCATGTTTATATAAAAGAATACACACAAAAACGCTAACACAATTTTCTAATCTCTCAGTTGGATGGAATGGATAATTGATCCATCTGAAGATTTTTACTACACATGGTTGCTTTTATTACAATTATGATGCTTCCTATATCTGCTATAACTGGGTCATCATAATATTCAGGTATAGGAAAACACAGAGGTTTGACTACTTTATGTTGAGCTACATCTGTACCAATTTATGCAGTATATATTTTATAATAAATAACTTAATTTTAGAGAATTGTGTAACTGTGAAATGACAACATTAACAAAAACAATAACATTTTAGTTCTAAAAAATATTCAAAATATGCAGATACGTTTTGGATTTCAAGTCCTAAAGCAAGTTCATTTGCTAAGAAGTCATTACGCTTGTGCGAGAACTGACGTTAAAATATCTTTGTACTGTTAAAAAGACATGTTTCTACGCAACTGAAAATAAGTTTTAGTCAACATGGCTCACATTGGATTATATCTGTGACTTGTTCTATGTGCTTGACACAGTTATTGGGTTTCGCACAGGTAAATGTGCATCTTGTCGCTTATTTATTGTCTTTGAATGTATTTATTTAATTGTCAACTTTGCGTCAGTATAGATTGATTTCATTATGAATTTATATAAATATTTAAATATGTTAATTAGTTGTTGTGGTAACACTTCAGAATAATGGTCCGTTGTTAACAAGTAACTATGCAGGAAGTAATAGGTAGTACTACATTAACACTTAACTTAATACTATTAACTAATAGAGAAGCGAGATTAACTAAGCAGTAAGTAGTAGCAAATTTAGGACAAAGGTAGTTCCTTATTAGATATTTGATAATTAGTTCACAAGTAGTTCTCAATGAGGATATTTTTATTTAATAATTATCAAATATCTAATAAGGAACTACCTTTGTCCTAAATTTGCTACTACTTACTGCTTAGTTAATCTCGCTTCTCTATTAGTTAATAGTATTAAGTTAAGTGTTAATGTAGTACTACCTATTACTTCCTGCATGGTTACTTGTTAACAACGGACCATTGGCACCATTTGCTGTTTCTCAAATCGTCACTGGAAACCCTCGAGATACCATTTAAAAAAAAAAAAAAAAAAGGCTTTCCTCTTTTACAGGTTTTCTGGAGCAGGGTATCCTGTTGCGAGACTTGTCCCTTTTGAAAACGCGTTACCTGCGCTCCTCTCGCTTCAAGTGGGACATCGAGGCCTTGGACCGCATGGAAACGCGCACATCGTATCCGAACACCTTCCGCGTCGCCAAACTCATGCTGTATATTTTCGTTGTCATCCACTGGAACGCCTACGTCTACTTCTCTCCGTCTAATTACATAGGCTTTGGTGCAGATCCCTGGGTCTATCCCAACATCTCCGACCCGGACTTTGCTTTCACGAGACGTCAGTACTTCCTCACCACAGTGGGTGACACTCCCCCGCCCGAACTCGAAGAAGAGTATCTGGTTTTGGTCGCAGACATGTTGATCGCCGTGCTGGTGTTTGCTTCCGTCGTGGGGAGCATGGGGGACGTGATATCAAGCTTGCGTGATCGTGACAGCGTGTTTTTTCCCAATCACGAGATGGTGAAGGGTTACGCGCTGCGCTGCATGTACACCTACCCCAACCCTAAACCTACCCTTACAGTAGGATAAATACAGTGTTAGTAGCATAATCTGATAGGTAGCATTATTTGTCAGAACACCGGCTGTGCAGCGCAGGTAACCCTTCACCATCTCGTCGAACTGCAGAAACGCGTCAACGACTGGTACCAGCATCTCCACATCAACAAGTGGGTCTGTACTGTACTGTAAATATGGTTTCAGTACTATATATAAAAACAATAAAGGCATAATCTAGAAATGCTAATTCCAAAAAAAAAAAAGAAAAAAAGAAATTCCATCTGCCTATATTTTATTATATACATTTGTTCTTTTCAGAAAATTAATAAGAGATTTATATTACAAATGACGCCCTTTGTTACCTTTATCCCATCTCTGTTGCCATATCTTTCTGACAGCTACTTTAATTAAACCTTTAATTTCTGATTTACTCAAGGGTATATGTATGTCAATATTTGTGTGCTTAAGAGCCTGTTTCACTATCTTGTCTACCTCCTCATTTCCTTCCACTCCAACATGAGCAGGCACCCATACAAATTCTGCTAGAATTCTCAGTTGCCGTATTCGGTACAAACTTTGCAGTACTTCTAATAAAATATCTTGTCTAGATTCTGATTTTCCACTCAATATACTTGTGAGTGCAGAATATGAATCTGCACAGATTAGCACTGTTGTTGGCTGATTTCTTCCACCCACTGTAAAGCTATCTGAATAGCGATCATCTCTGCTGCATATACTGATATATTATTAGAAGTTCTTTTTGCAGATTTATATTTAATGTGAGGAATATACATGGCAGCACTTGTACGCCCAGTTTCTGGGTCTTTAGAACCATCTGTATAAATTTGTAAAAATTGAAAGTAATAACTATCTAAATGCTGCTGTACTATTGTCTCTTTTGGAACATATTTCTTGTTTTCGTTTATTAAATTAAATATTTGCAAATCAACTGTTGGCATAGAAAAAAACCAAGGTGGATATACTGGCAGAGCCACCGTGGGGCTAATATCGATATTACTGATATCTATTTGTTGAGCCTGCTTGCCTACTGTCCAGCCAAAACTATTCATATATGTCTGCTCATATTCCCAGCAGCTCTCCAATATTTTTTTTACTGGATGATTGGTAAAATGACCTTTAATACCAGTCCAATATACCATTTTAAGCTGAATTTCACGAATGTCTAGTGGTGTTTCACCCATTTCTACCTGCAAAGCTGTCACAGGAGAGCATCTAAACGCTCCACAACATATTCTAAGGGCTTGGTTTTGAATCACCTCTATCTTAGTTAATAATGATGTTGATGCTGAGCCATATACTATTCTACAATAATCAATTGCTGACCTTATTAATGCACTGTATACCCTTTAAAGAGAATGTCTAGTAGCCCCCTAATCTACTCCACTGCCAAGCACCTCGGCACATTGATTCCTTTCTTACATTTATCAACTAACTTCTGAATATGTGGCCCAAATGTTAATTTGGAATCCATCCATACTGCCAGATACCTTATTAGTGATACTTGCTCTAATGTTTGTTTATACAACTTTAATTTAACTTCAGGAGTTTTCTTCTTCATTTTGAATCACCTCTATCCTAGTTAATAAAGAGGTTGATGCTGAGCCATATACTATTCTACAATAATCAATTGCTGACCTAATTAATGCACTGTATACCCTTTTAAGAGAACGTCTAGTAGCTCCCCAATCTACTCCTGCCAAGCACCTCAGCACATTGACTCCTTTCTTACATTTATCAACTAACTTCTGAATATGTGACCCAAATGTTAATTTGGAATCCATCCATACTCCCAGATACCTTATTAGTGATACTTGCTCTAATGTTTGTTTATACAACTTTAATTTAA